CGTACTAAAGAGATAAATAAAGCTTTCCTGGTGTATGGATCCTTAAAGTCTTTCGCATATCTACGCAGGAAAGCCAGGTTACTGTAGGCTTTTGGAAGAAATTTAATGTAACAATGTATTTTATAATTACGAAAAAATAGTTATGGAATTGAAAAATAACTGATAATTACTATAAAATGATACAAGAATAATAAAATGATACAAGAATAATAAAAATAACGATTTGGTTTGAACCAAAAAATTTATTTTAACTAAATATTGTATATTTTAATATACAATTATGGGATTCACAAGACGTGTTAAAGGTCGTAAAATCTTAAGCTTAACATTTGTTTATGTAAAATAACGGTTAAAATGGTTTTAGGAGGGGCTAATTATATATATTTTAACAGTTTAAAAACATTTCGGTATGTTAGAAATATTCTAAATTCAGTTTAATCATTGTTTTACATAAAAAAATGTTGAGCGTAAAATTTTACGACGGTTAACACGTCTTGTGAATCCCCTAAATGTAAATTTTAAATATGCATGGAGGAGTATTCTACGACCATTCTTCTTAATCTTTCTGGTTCTTCTTTCACGTTGATTTTGTAGCGGTTCTAAACGTTTAAGAAGTCTCGATGAACTGATTCACCTGGCTGCTCCGACCACAATCAAACTTCCTCGCCATCCAAAAAATGCAAGGAATGCTCAAGATGTTCAAAAATTACGTGAATTTTCAATGTCACAGAAACTTTTGTCCTGGCATAAGCCTTTTTCAATTCTCTAATGAATTTATCTAAATCCTGGCCGGGTGGTGACATAGAACAACAAAAATCCATAACATCGTTCATAGCTTTGAAAGCAGAAATGAAAGGTGTAAGTGAAAATTTGCCTACATTTGAATAAATTTCTGGACCATCTAGCGCATCTGAATTTTGCAGAAGTTGCTTTTGTAAGTGGCGGAACTAATCCGTTCCTTGTAAAACATGTAATTCAGGAATTGGACATTTTTTAATAACACGTACATTATCATCTTCTTGGAGGAGAACTGAGTGATTTTCCATTGCCAGTTTCTTATTTTCACCTCCAAGTACAAACTGCTCATGATCATTTTTTTAATTTCCATAAGTGTTTTAAAGTACGACGACATGTTCAGACACATCAAAGTTTGCATTTACATGCTTTTTTTATAAGATTCTCATATTTCTCGCTGATGACATTACTAATTTGATGATTGCTAGAAACAATTTTTTTTCACAACGGGCACACATTTTTGACCGATTTTCGTCGTGTTTACTTCTCAAACTCATTTTTTCCGTTGTTTTACTACTAAGACTTACGTGTACATACAAAATTTACGTAAGACGAAAAAAGTTACTTAAAAACGATATTGTTACTTGGGTCCGAAAAAATATTTTAAGATCGAAAAAAGTAATTGTTGAAAAAACTGCTAAACGATCAGGTAGGATTTCCTTCGCAACGGATTTTTAAACTAAGAAATAGCTGGAATAAGATGTGGTAAACCATTTCATTAGGCATTTTCGTTTAACTTCTTTTTGATTGAGGATAGGTGTGTGCACTTTGTTATACTAAAATTTAATGGGCTATAAAAATACATACTTACAGTTTTTCTAGAAAATCTCATAAGAAAGTTGTCAATTACTATGCAAATTTATTGAATTTTCCTGAGCTTTGCACAAAGTGAACAGATTTAGTTTTTAGGTTTTTTGTTGTATTATCAAATCCGTTGTTTTAAGAATAAAAAGACATAACGTCTTTTAATACAGCTTTATTTAAAACAAAACAAATAGAATAAAACTTGAAAAATGATATGGAAAATAGATTTTGAGAAGTTTTGGCTACTCGCGCTTGTTTAAAAAACGTTTATTATTTTTTTATGATAGTATAACTTACTAGTTAAAAAAAAAAATGTACCTAAATCAATATTTCAAACTTTGTAGAACAATAGTAGATTTCTAGAATTGTTCAAAACAATGCAGTTACAGTTTTGTAGCCCATTAAATTTTAGTATAATAAAGTGCAAGTTTGAAGTTCCTTGGACTTACCGCCGATTTTTGGAAATTTTTTGTTCGCGCATTTTCTTCCATCCAAATTAATTCCAAAAATTTTTTGAATGGAGAAGATGAGCAACACCTTCCACACAAAAAAAATTTACTAAAAATCAATGGTATGTCCTCGCTATTTAAAAGTTGCACTTTGAATTGAATGGGCTACAAAACTGCAAACTCAGATTGTGTATAAGAAATCGAATTAAAAAGCACCAAATTTTGATGAACTTTTGTCGAATTTTGCTAATTTTTGTACAAAGTTCGAAATTTTGACTTACATGGTCTTTGTTAGTTAACGAATGAAAGTGTTCATAAAATAATAATACACATCACATAATCGAAAGGGGAATTACCAAAGAATACTAAAATGTCTCTTCTCTATTTCTATTTCGCCACCGTATTAGGGATGTCAGTGGCAAAAATACATCGATGTTTTTCTTTGATTGAAGTGTACATCATCATACATCGATGCATCGATTTGCATAGGATTTTTCAAATAATGTTTCACAACAAAATAGTTGCATGGATTTCACGAAATGCAAAAATACTGTTCCAAATTTGGAAGAGTACGACAGCACCCCATTGCAAAGTGTTATAAAAACCTTAAAAAAAACTACAACAATTATATACTGCAATTGTGCGGGCCAGAGTACAGATAGACTCTTATTAAAATAATAAAGAAAGCACTTAAAATCAGTATTTAATCGATACAAATATAAAAAATTGGAGAACTTGTACCTCCCGACTTTTAAAAAATATTCGGCGGGACGATTTTCTCAAAAAATCGAATGGTCATCGCAATTACGAACTATATTAAAAAAAAAAAAATGGGCGTAAAAATAAATTAGAATAAAGATCTTTGCGTCATTGCCAATACTTTTGTTCGTCACAGTATATCTTGAAATATCTTTCTTAAATTGGGGTCGCAGGAACTTCCTGAAGTACTTAAGCTGGCGAGCTACTTATGTATATGTCGTAATACCGATCCAGAGGGAAACATGCACTTAGTACAAACTACTTTCACTATTACCATCACATTACTTAATGAAGTCGACTAGGTAATAAAAAAACTCAAAATATTAATTAACAATACGGCCTAGCTTCTCTTACAATCAGAAAAAATCATTTCCCTAATACACGAAACCAGTTTCCTTAATATTACGAAAAATTTACTCGATTAGAGAAGTTCTTCCTTAATTTAGGTTCATGCTAAAAAAGAGTGATTAATTTGAGGAAATAAATTTACTAAGTAAAACGAAGTTAATTGGTTTCCTGGCGGTGGTGTCGCGTAAGACTACTGTTCCGGTTCTGAGATCGCAGGTTCGAGTCCGATTGGAGGTAGTTGGAGTAAGGTAAGTCAATTATTTCAATTCAAATATAGATTACAAATTGTAAAATTAATTTTATGAGATATTTTTTTTTTTAAATAGAATTTAAAAAATTACAATAAAAACAGATAAAAAATAAAAAAATATTAAAAAAAAAATCCTGCTCTGGGACTCCAACCTTGCATCTCTCGACTGGCACTCCAGAGCTTTGCTCTGTCGGCCATTGCAACTGTTTGAGCGCCGCGAGCAAAATTACATACTTATTGCTTTCAGGGCAAGTTAATTTTTCCTAGGAAGAAAGAAAATAGTACTGAATACTAAATAATGAGTTATGTTTTCCTTAAACTGAGTCAAATCGTTTACTCATATTAAGGCAACCATGTCTTTGGAGCCATTTCAAAGTAATAATTCCTTATGGTCTAAGATCCGACAAGGGCACGACCTTCACCCATTTTTTTTTTTGAATGGATGAAATCTATTTTGTATGAAATTTAACGTGTTAGTAAATATTTCGCGACTGGGTTTGTTAAAAAATCCTGACCAGGATATTTTTAATTACAAAAAATGGTACAAAAATTAGTATTTTTTTTTTTTAATTTTGTACTCATTTTATTAATGAACAAACTATATACCAATCCAAAGTATTAAGCCTATAGAATGTGCAAATGTTGGGTTGTCCATTTTTTCCTGGCCTACCTATCGGGTGGGCAGGTATCAACAGGTAAGTAATACTAGTAATTTTCACTCATCCGTTTAACGCATTCTATAGGAAACATGCGGAAAAAGACTAACCACACCTCTGAGCCATATAAGAGGATGGGTTTAAAACTGAACGAAGATTTCAGTGACAAGACTTCAAAAGCAAAACTTCAAATTCGCGAAATATCTTCAAGCTAAATGTCTCGCTATCGTTCAATAACATACAAGAAGGGCCCCAACGAGTTAATGCTAGAAACATATTTCTGCCATGACTAACATAATCAAGACACCATCATACTCCTATAACCAGGTGGACATCTGATAGCCATCTATAATGTCTAATGGTTTACCCTACGGTATGTTTATAACTTTCTTATTAATTAAACGCTTCGTTGACAGTCTGTGATAAATGGCTTCGAGATTTATTTGGGTGTGAAATAGAACAGCAAATGCTTCCGTTTGGCATCAATTAAAACATGTTAAAGCTATCAATATTTATCGCTAAAACGTACATTTCTTAATTACAAGAAAATTTTGTACGCAATTTTTAGTATAAATACATGATGAGCCTAATTGGTCTGAGGTAGTGCGGGAAATACGTTCGACAGCGCAACATAATTCTATTACCTGTAGAAAGACAAAAAGAAGAGCACAAGACATGTTTCGTAAGTAAAGCGAGAAACTGCAGGATAAATATATGTACATATATAAGTATCGGTAATAGTGATTAGCAGCAATCCAATCCGCTCAATAGGTCATTCGAAATCCACTTGGTAGTGTTGGTCCAGTATTTTGTGGCAAAAGAAACATCCACTCACATCCACTGGCGATCGACGGGAGATGTAAAAAATCAATAATTTAACTTTGACTTTAGTTCCTCATTCATATAAAAACAAAAACAAGTGGTGCATAAATACAATTAATTACGTTTCTTTTTCTCTCTGCAGCTAGCACTAGCAGCATTTGTGCCTTGGTACTGGTTTTGATGTGCAGCAGTGCTGCTACTGCCCTCAACATGACCAACATCTGCTTGCTATTGAAAAATAATGCTCGCATAGCCAGCGGAGATTCTTGCTCAAATTATTACACATGCTCCAACGGTGCTGCTACATCTCAAAGTTGTTCTTCTGGCACCTATTTCGACAAGAACTCACAGGCTTGTGTCAGCACGGCTCCAAGCTATTGCACAACAAATACTACAAACCCATGCGCTGGACTCGCTACTGGCTCTTTTGCTGCTGTAACAGGTTCCTGTACCAACTACTATTACTGCGGCACCAACGGTGCGGTAGAAGGCACATGTCCTAACAGTCTCGTGTTCAACCCGACGACCCAATCGTGCGACTATTCAAGCAACTATCCCTGTCAGAATTCTAGTTCTAGCGATGCCAACACCGTTGTCAACTTGTGTTTGTATATCCAAAACGGAATCTACTTTGGCAATGCTTTCAGCTGTGCTGGCTGGCAGAAGTGCTATAACGAGAGCAGCTTTACTACCGGGTCCTGCAGTAACGATTTGGTCTTCGATACGGCGAGCGCGATATGTAACTATCCAGCGAACGTTGACTGTTCCCAGGTATATTTGCTTTGTGTCAGGAAACTTCAAGTTGACATCTAGCTAACAAAATGCGAATCTTTAATTGCAGGTAACCAATGACCCTAATTTGGATGTCAATGCAGCTAGTGACGGTGGCACATGTACAACAAGTGTAAGTAATTCACTTCGATATGTTTCGCTCTCAAATTGTTGGTGGGAATCGCAATACTCACATTGTATTAAATTCGTATTTTCTAGGGGGAACTCAAAAATGCCACTGCTTGCAATCAATATTATCAATGTACTAATGCTAAATGGCAGCTGGTAACGTGCAGTACCGGCAAGTACTACGACACCGTATCAAAGACTTGCGTGAACAGAAATGTTGCTTACAATGACTGTGATCGTTGCTTGGGTACCAATCTCCAATTTGTAAACGCATTTGGTACTAATTGCACTGGCTACTTGTATTGCGTAGAAGGCGTTGAAAAGAGTAGTGGCACCTGCCCCACCGGAGACTACTTCAACGAAGATATGGGTGGTTGTGTGACCGAAAATCCGAATTACGTATTCTGTACGAGTGAATCCTCGTCGTCTGCGACTACAACGAGTGGTAGCACTGATGATACCACAGCATCTGGTGAGACGACTGCTAGCACAGCAACCACAGCAACCACAGCAACCACAGAAGCAACCACTGAGGCAGCTAAATAAAATAATTTCAAGACCTTGCAAGAAGAGTGTATACATATTTACATACATATGTACTCATTTGTAATTTAACTTTCAGAGGAGTTTCAATAAACATATATGCAAATAAATTTTTGATGCAAATAATAAAAATTAATCGAGTTTATAACTTATGGTTTGCACTTTGTAGAGAAGTTTATGCGAAAACAGACAAACTTTAGTTTCAAACCTATGTCGCATCACGGCAAGAGCTCGGCATCGACCTATCCTGAAGTCTCAACAAAGATTGCGGTTGTTATCGAACATTATCGCATTTAAATATTTTTAATAGCTAAAAAATTTATTCTTTTAGGTTTTTGCCATATGGTCTCAAAATCTTTCAAGGGCTCGGTTACTACACTATCCTGTCCGTTAAAATTGAACTTGACAGGAACTTGGTGCCGTGTGGAGTATTCCAGAAGTAGGTATGTACCAGGGATATTGCGAAATATTGCATCAAATGATAGGAATGTTTTTCGTATGCGAATGTATACATGGGCCGAGTGTCCACTCTAATATTGTTGAAATGGCCCTAAGTCTGTCTAGCCATGGTGCGGACAATAACCGGCTTTTATCTTCAGGCATTAAACGGTTTAGTAGTATATCCAGCAACATTGATGGGCATTCAACAAGTACTGCTAAAAGTCTTATAAGCAACTTAGAAAAAATTTTAGATTCCTCCTTCGAAATCGAAGGCTCGGATGTAGAATCTGGAAAAATTAAAAAATGTGAAATTAAAGCTTAATTGAAGGCCTATCTTAAGGAAAAACGAGTTCAACTCGGTGAAAATCCTTACGATTGTTGGAAAACTAAACTAAAATACAACAAATTGAGAGATCTGGCCCGCAAATATTTGAGCGCCCCATCCGCCAGCGTTCCAAGTGAGCAATTGTGTGTGACATTCGAAACATCCCTAGTATGTACATGTTTTATAGCCCGGTCCTGACTTCGCCTCAGCTGTATGTTGACCAAGTCTTTTGCTAATTTTTTACTTCTACCCACGTTTGATTGTTGGAGTTGATTTTGCTTATCCTAATCGGCTATTTTGCTTATCCTAAATAACCGTCGAGCAAGCGGAAAAACTTACAATGTCAACGGAATAGCAAGGATATTATTTATCCGCAACCGGATGAATGATTAATCTTATCTTCTTCTTCTATATATATATATAAATAAAATGTCTTTCCTATGACGGCGATGCCTGACGAAACAGCTGAACGGATCTCAATTCTGTGAAAAGTGCTTTTGGACCTTCTGTGTGGAAGGTTTTTCGATTTTGAAAAATTTGAAATTTGAAATCTGAGACGTCGCGATTTCATAATTTCATAAAGTTTTCTGTACATTAAATGTCACTAAACTACTAAACGGCTAGCCCGATTTGGTTCATATTTGGAAAATGTGTCAGCACCTGGAAAGGAAATATTCTGACCAAAAATGCACTCGCCACGTGGCGCTAAGGTCGCAATATTCCTAAAAACTGCATTTTCTTGCCGATCTGGCTCATATTTAGAATACAGAAATAGAAATATTTGGACTTAAAACTTACACGATAGGTGGCCCTGTGGCCGAGATATCCCCAAAAATTATTTTACACTAAGATAAGGATAGATATCTACTATATACTTGTGGAAGTATGTGCAGCCTAAATATATATGTTAATACTGTGCACACGACGCAAAGTGGAAGGTATTGGAAAAGGGGGCGTGGCACCTCCCATACAAACTGAATTTCTCATATCGCTTATTTTGCAGAAAATTGATTCAATATGTAGAAACCCCATGTGTTTACTTTTCAGATGGCTAAAGGAAATTGTGTAAGATCACATTTGTCTGACGCCTTAATACACCCTTAATGCGATCTTGCATTTACCTCCGATTAAGGAAATTGCTCGGGGCGGCCGTTATTGCAGCAGTGAGACTCGAAGAAACCAGTTCATAAATATTAAAACGAATTTCAAAAGTGGCGAATCGACAAGGAAAGACTCGACCACATCCGTCCAAGAAAAACGCACGGTAGGTATATCAATGGCTTCATTTCAATGATATTCAAGAGATCACACGAGTCATTTAGCCAATGTGCGGCACAACTTTTCACCCAAAAACGGTAGGAGTTTTTGAAATTTTTTATTTTTATATATACATATTAGTAAATTTTTTCATAAGCAATTTTTTTACTTCTGGGGCTCCGATTTTATTCGGGCAAAATAAATTAAGATTAGCAGTCGCTCGCTCTCAGTTCGGAGAAAAAAAATATTTGTTCAACTCTTTTGTCGTTTAAGGTACAGCGTTTTTTCGATCGAAGTGCATCGAATATTCCCTTGATCCGAGTTAAGTTTGGGAATTAACTCTAGGACTTAATCCGGATCAACTGCAGTTAATTCCCGAAATAATTCGGCATTAACGAGTTAATCCGGATCAACGCTGCCGCTTTAAGCTCACCTCACCTGAATCCACTTCACTACAATTCACTTCTCATTAAATCAACTCACTTCAAACAATTTTAGTGGTAGAATTCCTACCGCTGGGCGAACACAGGTATGTATTCATAAAAGAACGATATTATCGATTGCTATGACTAAATTAACGACAATAACAATATACTTTTTGGACCGATTCGATTCGATTTTTCAGGTCATATTCGTCCCGTGAATCGATCAAATAATGCATATTGATCTACGGTTTGCTCTAGAAAATTTTAAAGAAATTTGAATTTGAGGCTGGTACAAAAAAATGGAGGGGCTTGGCTCCTCCCACGGAGTTTTCTTGAAAATAACTATATGAAATTTGAAGTAATACTACAACAAAATCTTCTAACATTGGAATTCCCAACTTTGTGAAAATTTCCATTAAAAATTTTCACTTTTAAGTACCCATTTTACAAAAAATTTTCGTATGTAATTTTGTAGCTCATTGAATTTTAGTGCAATAAAATGATATTTTGAAGTAAAACATAAAATTTTTCTGTGTTGGTGTTGGTTGATTTTTCCGACAGGGTGGTAAGATGATTTATTTTGGAACGAATTTCCGTCATCCCTTGTCAAGTTTGGTTTGCAGACAAACCGGTTTCGGCGTTGTGCCATCTTCAGTGTCATTTTTCGTTCTGTCTGGTTCGAGATTTGTCCCTAATTTATGTTCATTTATCTTAGGTAATGTGATTTTCGTCGATGATTAATTACTAGATATGCCATGGTGCCCATTTTTTTGAAGCAGGTAATAGGTTCATCTTCGCTGTTTCGATATTAACATGCATTATGTTGTCGCTGTATGGTTTTTGCCTGCAGGTAGGTAAAAGTCAGTGATTTTTGCCCTGGTGGTGCTTTTTGGTGTGTTCGGAGTGTCCATGCCTGTTGTTTTGTTGTCATTTTTCTTTTTTTCGTAAATCAATTTTAAGGGTTCGAATATAACATCCGATGCGGTATTTGTTTGTTCGTTTATAATTTTGCCGTCGAAGGTTTTTAGTTTGTATATTTCCATATTTTCTAGGACGTTTAGTCGTTGGCCTTTATGTTGTACATGCAGTAGTTTCGCTGCCTTTCTTATTTGCGTTGGTGAACATTTGTTGTTAAACATGTGGTTAGCAAAATTTGACTCTGGTATTGCGCTCGGTTTCTGTGTCTTTTTGTTATAGTCTCTTATATGCTCGCGGAATCTTGTTTTTATTTTACGTCCTGTTTGACCTATGTAACTATGCTGGCATTTGCAAGTTAGTTTATAGACTCCTTGTTTATCCAATGGATCTTCTTGATTTGTGGTGTTCCGTAGTATCCGTCCCACGTTGTTATTTGTTCTGAATGATGTGCGAAGGTTGTGTTTCTGGAACAGCTTTGCAAGTTTGTACGTTGACTTTCCAGTATAGGTTAATACCGCCCAATTTTTGTTATTGTTTTCTTCTTTGTTTGGCTTTTTGTTTTTGTGTTCCCTTCGGATTTCTTCTACCAGATCTCTTTTGTATCCGTTATTAGCCGCTATGGCATATATTGCGTTCAGTTCTTTGTTGTATCCTTCTTTTGTTAGTGGTATTCGCTCAATTCTATTGATCATCTGTCTAAAAGCGGCTTTTTTATGCTGATGAGGATGGTTCGATGTATTATGTATTATTGTATCTGTGGCTGTGGGCTTCCTAAAAATTTCATATTGCAGACTGCTGGTGCTTTTATTTATTTTTATCGTCAGATCTAAGTAATTTAGCTTTCCTTGCATTTCTTGTTCCATTGTGAATTTTATATTGCTGTGCTGTTTGTTGAGGTATTCCAATATTTGTCCCTCATTTTTCTTTGTTATAAGACATATGATGTCATCTACGTATCTGGCGTAGAACGTCGCTCCTAGTTGTGATGTAAGATACTCCACGTACCTTTCTTCCAAATTCTGCATGAATACCTCCATAAGGATCGCCGATGTGGGGTTGCCCATGCCTAGCCCGTTTGTTTGCATGTATATGTTGTTGTTAAATTTGAAGTAATTTTGATGCAACGTCGTTCTGAGTGTATTAGTTATCTCTACGGCGATTTCTCTGTTTCCTGTTTTTTCAATCAGTATTTTGAATACGATATCTATTGTTTCCGTTATTGGTATCGATGGGTATAGATCTTTTATGTCGAATGATACCAGTTTAGTATCCATCGTGATCGCCATGGGCACCATGGCATATCTAGTAATTAATCATCGACGAAAATCACATTACCTAAGATAAATGAACATAAATTAGGGACAAATCTCGAACCAGACAGAACGAAAAATGACACTGAAGATGGCACAACGCCGAAACCGGTTTGTCTGCAAACCAAACTTGACAAGGGATGACGGAAATTCGTTCCAAAATAAATAAAATTTTTCCTTTTTTGTATTAAAAAAAGACTACAAAATTTCGAAGAAATGTAACCTTGCAAAAATACCTTAAACTCAGGGGTGTACCGCGAACTTTTTTTCCGGTCCGGTCTTACAATATATGTACAACAGAAATGGACAATATTTATATGTACTAATTTTAACTCTCTTGACGGCCGCTGGGGCTGAGTGGGTTAGAACTGTGTACTGCAACTCCGTAGGACGTGGGTTCGATCCATACGCCCGGATATCATAAAATCCACTTGCCGTTCCGAGGCGATGTAAAACTCTAGGTCCCTCCATATGTGTAAAAACATCAAGACGCACAACACAAATTGAATGGGAAACTCGTCCATATACTTAGCAACAGCGTAAACGCCAAAATATTATTATACGTACAGTGACTTAAACAAATGGTCGCGTGTTGATTTTTCTTTTTTTTTAATATGCGTAATATTTTTCGAGTAATATTTTTTTTTGTTATTTTTCTATAAAAATAACAATATTTATAAGCTTTAAACATAAAAATCACAGTTTCGAACTTTATAAAAATTTAAGAAAATTCAACGTATTTCCATACAAATTTCAACTTTTAAATCTGCACCTTTAGAACATTTCTAGGTATGCAGTTTTATAGCACATACAATTTCACGGCTGAAAAATTATTTTTGAGAACTTTTTTTTCGTGACGGATTTTTGCGGATCAAAAAGTTTAAATTTCGATAAATTTTGGAATTTTCCTGAATTTTGTATAAAGTTTGGAACCGTGGTTTATATGGTTAGGTATAAAGTTTCTACGGTATTTTTATAGAAAAATAACGAAAAAAAATTGGCTCGAAAAACATTACGAATATTACAAAAAAATCAACACATGGTCATTTGTTTGAGTCACTGTATTTAGATTACAAAAACTGACCGATAATGGAAATTATAAATAAATCTTTCCACGAATCAAATTTAATTAATAGTAAATAAAATTTTTTTTATCAATTCCACGAGTTTCTTCGACCAGATAAAGTGAAGGCAATTGATCTACATACCCTATATAATTGCACAGAGATAAACTTAGAGATGTCTTATCGTTTTGGCAACCCCGAAGCAAATTACCTAGTTACGTTGGTAAACAGACAACAGAAATTTAATTGCGCAATTTAAATCTTTCAATTAAAATAATCGCGGTCGCGGCATGGTAAGAGTACATAAAATCGCCGACACTATAAAAGCGGCTTGACATATTCAATACTAGGCAGTTAGTCCAAATACGTAAATAAATTCAAATCTTAGCTGTTTAAAATCTGCGCGGAAATGTTAGGTGAGTAGTTCTAATCTGTCATTGCGAACCAGGAAATCATCCAATTTCATAAAGGACAAGGATCACAGAACCTGCCTAATAGGAATTCCAACTGAAGTCTTAATGGAATATGAGAGCGTGCGTGGATCCTTTTTTGTATTCTATGCTCTTTGTAAAATACTTAATCATATTTATCGCAATTTGGCCGTACCCCTCTCGATATACACTAACAAAATATTTTATATTTGTATTTCATTTCTAAAATTCACACTTACGCATGCGGCAGTAGCCAAACAATTCATATTTGGGACCCTTCTTATGGTGCTAGTAAACGTAATTGCCGCGGAATACGATGTGGATGGCGTATGCACATTGGTCTCAAATGGCGTTCGCATTGGCAGCATCGAATCTTGTCTAAAGTACTACATCTGCAACAACGGCAAGGCTACAGCTTATACCTGTCCTTCCGGCACAAAATTTAGCAAAAACTCGCAAACTTGTCTAACCGCAGCCAACGTCAATTGCTATTTTGGTGAAACAACACCCTGCACTGGCAAAAATGGGGTGTTCGTGCCCAAAACTGGCTCTTGCAATGGCTGGATCTACTGTAAAAATGGTCAAGAAATCAGCAGCGGCACCTGTAGCAACAACTTAATTTTCCGCGATGGCGAGTGTATATATGGCGACTGTGCCAATTCTGTGAACACACTGGATGCAAGTTTTACCTCCATCTGTCAGGTACTGCCGAATAACAAATACTTTGGAAGCACAATGGACTGCACCAAATGGCAAATTTGCAGGAATGAGAAGTTGAATGGAGGTGTTTGCAAAGGTGATTTGGTAAGTAAATACATATTGTTTTGAAGCACGATTCGAGCAGTTTCTTTTACAAATCAATTAGGGTGAATTCACATCTATACATTTTAGCACATTTTATTCCTATCCCTTAGGTGTACGAAGTTTCATCTGCTACTTGCTCCTACAAAACTGCAAGCACCTGTTCGCACGTCACTGGTATCAAGGTGCAACCGGATGTGGAAGTCTTTGGCAGTTGCACTGAGAATGGCGCACTTAAGTCTACCGGCATTTGCAGCGACTACTTGAAATGTACAAACGGTCAATGGATGCGCCAGTCTTGTACAAACAACTATTTCTTTGACACTGTGAAGCAAACTTGTGTGACCCGTAAAGCTGCTGTGACAAAAGATTGCGATCGTTGTCAATTCACGAAAAATACATTCGCTAACGCTGTTGATGTGGAATGTCGCAAATATTTGATTTGTTCAAACGGCGTCCAAAAGAGTTCCGGTTCCTGCGGTTCAGCCTACTACTTTGATGAGAGCTCTCAAGCTTGCATGAAAATCAGTGGAAATGTTGATCTCGCGGCAGTTAGTGGGGCATGCTATACAGCTCCTACAAGTGGAGCAGGTGATTCTGATACCAGTGGCGACACCAGCGGCAGTAACAGCAGTGATGGCACCAGCGAAAACACCAGTGACAGTGGTAGCAGTGATGCTGCCAGCGGAGACACCAGTGACAGTAGTAGCAGTGATGCCGCCAGCGGAAACACCAGTGACAGTGGTAGCAGTGATGCCGCCAGCGGAGACACCAGTGACAGTGGTAGCAGTGATGCCGCCAGCGGAGACGCCAGAGGTAGCAGTGATAAAACTGCAAGTAATGCAAACACGGAAGCGTAGCAGCTGAAGAGTGGAACTATTGAGCCGGTAATAAAGCATCCGATCGTAATGTATAAACCAGGGGTTTCCAACCTTGATTTTCTCGTAGACCCATTTCAAAACTTTACTGGTTTCGGTGGACCCCCTGATGCCCTTTCTAACATATTCCCAAAGCTCATCAAAAAAGTGTGAAGATTCGATCTAACAGTGAAAATTCGCATCATGGGTGAATTCGGAGTGGCAAAAATAAAATATTTTCTTGCGTTCTATTTATTTAAATAACTTGACTACACACTTGCAAGTTTAAAAAAAACAGAGATCTCTATACTGGTTGATTCTATAACTGGTTGCGGATCGAGGATTGTCTGGTCTAAGCTAACTGTAGCCAAATTGTCAGATGTCTCATTGCCAGGCACTCCCTAGTGACCTGGCACCCATAGCAAATCGATAAAATTCCGTAAGAGAAAAGTGGAGTTTATCCCCATTATCTTCGAAAAAGATCCCAGATCCTGGCCCAGAGTCAGTGTGTAAGTTCGGACTCCGTGCATTACCCCTCAGGGACATTACCCCTCAGGGAACTCAGAATTATAGACTCAAGTGCTCAAATCTCCGCCGCCAGCAATTTCCGCCTCGCCTTACTTAGTGTCATACCAACATCCCTTTCTTTTTAGTCTGCAGGTGCAGCAGTGCTCAAGAGCACTATATACCACTCAAAAAAATTAAAATTAAATAAAGATACTAGCAAGCAACCATTTTGGATCTTTACTATCGAAACTAGATATATTTTCGTGGACCCCCACTTACAACTCGCGGATCCCCATATTTTTTTTAACGCCACTTGGACCACTTTGGGAATTACTGGTATAAACTAACCTCCACTGTAATGTATAAGCTAACTGGTTCCAAATTATTAACAAGCCTCAAGCCAATTACTATTTAGTAAAACTGTAATTACTTTGTAAATTTATTAATTTTGAATAATGATATGGATAAAAATATATATATATATATATAT